CCCCCCCCCGGCTGCGTCCACCCGGCCTCTGGCCACGCCCTGGCCGCGCCCCCACCCCGACCCCTCCCACGCGCACAGCCCCTCCCACGCGTGCAGCCCCTCGCTCCCCTGCTCAGCCCCGGCTGAAAGCCCAGGCCAGGTCCGAGGAACCCAGGACCCGGCCCGCTCGGCTCGCCCCCGGTGGACCCCGCCGCCGGCCTCATCCGGCTTGGGGAGGGGTAGGCAGCCTCTGCCGCCCGCCCCCGGGTACCTCGCACCCCACCCGGCGCAGCACTGCGCCCCGCCGCCCATCCCAGCAGAGCGCTCTGGCCTGCGGCCCGGGGCTCCCTTCCACCTGCCGGGCCGGGCGTGGGGAGCGGGCGGGACTGCCAGCCTCGCGGTGGCTTTGCCTGCAGAGCTTAGGGGGCACCTTCCGGGGGTCGGGCATCCCGCGGGGCTGGCGGGGACCCCTCCTGCTCCAGCACTTCTTCGTCCCGGGAGCCCCCGTCTCACCCGGAGCCGCAGGGTACCCTGTCCCCCACACAGCCCGGACAGCCGCGCGCCCTGCTGGGGTCTCTGTGGCCCGGCCTTGGAAACCAGAGAAGGGGGAGCAGAACTTCGGACTGCCAGGGTGGGGCCTGGACCGGGGCGCCCGGGACCCGCGCCAGCTCCTGCTCCCGCTGTAAATCAGGGAACCCTGCGGAGCACAGAGGAGGGAGGGGTCCCTGGCGCTGGAAGCCAGACACTGCCGGGCGCCTGCTCGCTGAGGCCCCAGACAGGACCCCACTCTGCCTCCGGCCCTGCACCCCACCTCCCGAGATCTCTGCAGCAGGCTGTGTAGCTCCCCGGAGGCTCTGCCCAAGCCTGGCGGGGGGAGCCAGCTGGCGAGAAGGACAGGACGGAAGAGCTGGGTTAGCCCTGGAGAGAGCCCTCTCCTCCTCGGAATCCGCCCTCCTTATCAGAGTGGAGGGAGGAATTCGGACAACCGTCAGGATGAGAAGGGAGCCTGGGTGGGGGTGGACCCGGCTCTGTGGGGCTGAAACACGCAAAATTCTGGGGCCCTCTTGCAGTAATGTGAGAAGAATTTGCTAATTTTGCAAACTTACATGACCTGGTGCGTGCCTTTTTTTCTTTACCTTAGCACTTATTTATTTCATAGCAAGTCCCCTGATTTCTTCTTTCTTCTTTATAGGTTGTTTCATTAGCAGTGCATGTTTGCCACACTCACGCGTTCATTTCGGGGCCCCCCGGCCCCCAACCCTCCATGGATCAGGGGCCAGGCAGGAGGAGGACAGCAGCTTCCTATCGCTGGCGTTAGGACCCCTCCCGGGACATCTGTGGCCTCTGCCACCTGCCCTTCAAGGTGGTGGGGGTCCCGCTGTCCATCCACAGGCACAGGTGTGGACAAGTGACCTCCACAGCCCAGGCCCCACAGGCCCCAGGGCTGCTGTCCTCCCCTGCTCTCCCTCAGCCCATGTCCCTGCCCAGCCTGGCACCTGAGGGCACGGGCAACGGTCAAGCAGCCGATGGCCTGAACACGGAGATGCGTCTTCCAGCAGGATGACCCTGTGACCACAGACCGAGGAGGGTGCTGGGAGTTGATCTTTTTTTAAGAAACCAGACTGCACCTGTGTGTTCAATACACCCTTCCCCCTTAGTGCTGGGGGTGGAACCCAGGGCCTCACGCACAGTCGGAAGTGCTCCACCACTGAGCTACACCCCGGTCTTTTTTAGACAGGGTCACTCTTAGTTGCTCAGGTTGTAGTCAAACATGTTTGTGATCCTCCTGCCTCAGCCTCCTGCGTGTGTAGCTGGGACCACAGTGCGCCCCAACACCCGGATTTACTACATTTTTACACGCAGATATAACCCACAATGAACAAGTTTACACTGTAGTAATCAAACTAAACAAAATGCAGTGTTTTCCAAAAACTGCCTCGCTTGGTTCATCTTCCTAATAAAGTGACAATCTCTGCAAACATTTCCCACTGCAGATGGAACCTGCCCCTGGGTCCTGCTGATTCTCACCCCAACCCCAGTCTCGAGGGTGCGCCCTGGGTCACCCGGCTGAGGTCGAGCAGGGCCCGCTGGGACACACGGAGTCCCTGGACCCAAGCAAGGACCTCCACCCCTGCTCTGCAAGTTGGTCATTCTCGGCCATAAAAGAATTTTGGGATCTCTATCCAGTTCCTCCTGAGTTGCACTGGAATTTGGCTGCAGTTACCTTCAATGTGGATGTCGATAAGGACTCGGGAAGGGCCAGAGGTCACCGGAAGGAAGGGTGACTGCCCCATTGGGGGCGACGGTGGTACTGAAGCCCGCTGGTCCCCAGGACCTCAGCTGCCTCAACTGCCTCCCTGGCCACAGTCCCCGCTCAGGTCTGGATTCTGTCCCAAATTCCCATCCTGGAAGACGTTAGTGCTTCTGTGGCCAAACGTCTGGTTCCACCTTGGGACTGGCTTGAGATGCTTACACGGTAGCGGTAGCAACAGGGCTTGGTCGTCACAGTCCTGAACAGTTGGGGGCGTCAGACCGCAAATGCATACGTGCACTGGGCCCAGGGTCCCCGCCCTGCCCTTCCACATCCCAGGGTCACCAGGCCCTGAGGCCTGGGGCACGCAGAGTCCACGGGTTATCAGGCCCCGGGCCTGGGATGGGTTTGGAGACCCGCCCGGGCGAGAAGTGTGGCCACAGTGTGTCTACACCTGGCCAAACTCTCTCTAGACTTTGTGACTTCTTAAAGACACTACTTTTAAAAAATAATAAATAAAAGACACTACTTTTTAATGTTTTTGCCTCATTCTCTGCTGGAAATAATAAAAATAGTCTTTGGCTAGAGGAAAAAATAACATGCGGAGAAAGAAGGACCAAACCACTGGCCTGGCTGATAATTCCGGGTGCTGATTTCCAGAGCAGAGTCCTCCCTCCTAGCCTTGTCGGGCAGCCGGGTGCGGCACAGGCAGGGGTGGGCGATCCTCAGGGAGTTGAAAGAGAGAATTCCCCTGAGAGAAACTCAAAACATCCTTTACAGCTGCCGGAACTGAGGTCTCAGCCAATCCAAGAGAATAGCCTGGCTTTTGTCTGAAATTCTACAAACACTTCTAACAGGCGAGCGGAAGCCAGCCTGGTGGCACATGCCTGTGATCCCACCACCTGGGAGGCTGAGGCATGAAGTTCACGACCTAGTGAGTTCAAGAGCAGCCTGAACTACATACTGAGAGGCCAGGGATTTAGCTCAGTGGTTCCACTGCCTGCCTCACAAGTGCAAGGTCCTGAGTTCGATCCCCAGTACCAAAAAAAACTACACAAAAACTCAACTACATACTGAGACCCTGTCTCATAAAGCCAAACCAAAACAAAACAAAAACCAGGCGACTTGATTAAGGTCAAAGGCATCTTCGGGTCTTCAGATGCAGGTGCCCACGGCAGCTTAAGGTGCACACAAGTGACCATTTGGTCACTCATCTCTGCTGTGAGAGCTAGAAAGCCTGGCATCACTCCGGTGATGGCCAGATTCAGGACGACCTCTGAAGAGCCAAGCCTGCACCCAAAACCCCGCCCCAGATGCTGGCTGGCCAGCGCGCCACCTGCGGGCCGCAAGTCCCAAGCTCACTCCCCCCTCCCTCGGCTGCTGCGGGCCAGCGGGCCAGGACCCGTCCGTGTGGAACTCACCCGAGCCTGGGGACAAGGGCCCCTCGTGGCCGGCACCTCCATTTCTGGATCTGGGCTCTGGTGCGGGCACTGGGCTCCTGCACAGCGTTTGCGCCCTGGGCTTCTACCCGGAGTGCACTGCTGTGACCACACACGCACACAGCCTGCTGTAGCCCTGCCCACCCTCCCTCACCCAAGGGGGCAGCAAGCGGCACGGACACGGAGGGGCAGCCAGGGAAGGGCACCGAGTGTGGGTCTGGGACCCAGTGACCTAGTTCACGCAGACGCTATGGAGGAGGGAGCTTGAGACGAAAGGACCCTGGACGCACTGAAAGGTGACAAGCACGCTTCCAGGAGGAGACGGAATGGGTGGCCACGCCGGGACAGAGGCCAAGGAGCCCCCAGAAGCTGGAGGGGGGCTGGGTGGGCCTGCCCACGCCCTGGCCCTGCCTTCGGGCCTCCAGAACCTGATGCGTTCTGCAGGCTTGGACCCCGCTTGCTCGCTGAAGTAGCAGCAGGAAACAGACAAGCTGTGACTAGAGCGACAGAGCCCATCCTGGGAAGCCCCACCCCAGGGACCTCCATGGGGCGTGGCGGGGGGGACAGCAGCACCTGCACACAGGACACTGGCCATGCCATCCTTGTGCTTCTTGGGGTCCAGGTGCCCCCCCCACCACAGTCCCCACAAGGTCCTTTCAAAACCTCCTGGTCCCCGTCAACGGGCGTGGTGGTACTCACCTGTAATCCCAGCACTTAGGAGGCTGAGGCAGGAGGATCACTGCGAGTTCAAGCCTCACCTGGGCTACACAGTGATTTCAAGGCCAGCTGGAGACCCTGTCTCAGAAAACAAAGCAAAACAAAACTCCTGGCCCCAAACTGGACCTGATGTCTTCCGCCTGGTCCCTCCTCCTGTCCCACCCATGGAGCCCACCCCCAAGGCCAGGCCTCGCAAGAGGGGCCTGTGAGCAGTGGGCAGGGGTGGAGCCTGGGCATCCTCTTGCCAGGTACAGGTGCATGGAAAATTCCCACCAAAGCAAGCCCCTTGGGGGCTGTGTCCCGACGCCTCCCACACCCAGGAAGGGCCTCTGTCCACGTGGCCCCTCCCTGCTCTCCTTGGCGGCCAAAGTCAGTGCTTATGGGAGGAGACCCCAGCCGCTCGGGGGGCCGCACAGGGCCCCGTGCCCACCAGACAGACGTCAAAGATGGGGCTCAGGCTGGGGTGCAGCTCAGTGGTGGAGCATTTGCCCACCTTGGTGAGGCCCTGGGTTCTATTCCAGCACCAGAAAAATAGCAAAACACCCTCTACTCCCACCTCCGCTCCTCCGGGCTGAGGGTTCCTCTCCTTGCGGAAGGCGGTGCTGCCACCTGCCGGCCAATTGTGAAACAGCCTCTTTTTTAAAAAAACCATGAAACAAGCGGCCCAAAACGCGGAGTCCACCAGCCTGGGACCCTACAGGCAGGGCCGGGTCTCTACCACCTGCCCCTGCCCCTGCCCCTGCCCCCACAACATGCGTGCGTGTGTGTGGACATGTGTGTGTCGAAAGGCGCTGTCAGCTGGAAGGTTCTCTGCCTGCACAGGTGTGACCCACCTGGCACCTGCTGAACTGTGGACGATCTTGTTAGCAGGAGGCAGGGGGCGGGCCCTACTCTCACAGAGGAGGCACACAGGCGGAGCTGGGTGTGGCCCACACAGCCCCGAGGGCCGAGCGGGGGAGCTGGGGTCGAGGGAAGCTTGTCCCCGTGGCTCCGTGCTCGCCCTGGCCGTGGACTCCGCCTGCTGGGCCCCGAGTCCCGTTTCTGTTGTTCTGGACAAGCGGGTTGCCGGCACCCTGTTACTCACCATCACGGAGGGCACTCGCTGTGTCTGCTGCACACTCAGTCACCTTCCCTCCCCAGCCACTGCTCTGATCTGGGGTGATGCGGCCACTCCCCAAAGCCACAGGAGGCTGGGCACTGTGGGGACGCTCGTCCGTCCCGTGGCTGCTCCTGCCAGCGTGCGGGGACCTCGGCATTGTCCGGTCTCCCGTCCCGGCCCCTCTTGTCCGGATCTGTGTTCCCCACCCCGTCAGGCCCGGACCAAGCCTCGGAGTCTGAGGCCACCCAGCCCTCCTTGCCCCTCCCATGGAGAGCTCCAGTTCTGGCTCAGCGGCACTGCGCCCCCGCAGGGCTGCTCTGACGAGGGCGTCTTCTCCTTTAGGCCTGGGCCCTGCGCCTGCCCCGGGCCCGCCTGTCGCCCCGCGCACCTGCCCGCCACAGTCCCGCAGACGTTCCTGGACCTGGGCTGACTTTTATCCCCGGTCTCTGCCGCAGTGACCCACCGAGCCCCAGCCTAGGCCAGCTGGCCCAGGCCTAGAGATGCCCTTTCGTGTGTGGGCAGCCTAGCTGCCAAACTCTGAGGTCCCCAACGCTGGCAATGCCCATGCCTGACCCCACTCAGCGCCTCCCTTTCTCCCCTGAAGCAGCCATCTGTAAAGGGCCCGGCTCCCGCTCCAGCGCAGGAGGGGCCCCCCCACTCGGCTCCGCCCATCTCCTGCAGCGCTCGCTCGCCAGCCTGCACCCAGCCCACCCTCTCCACCTTGTCCCTGCCTCTGCACTTAAGGTCCCAGGGCTCCTGTCTGCCTGCCTCTCCACTCACTGATTTTCACCCTAAATGTCGAGGTCTGCGAGTGGCTGCCCGGGGCCTGGACTCTGCAGAGCGGGGCCCTGTCTGGGCCTCAGAGCCCACCACTTGCTTAGCCTCAGACAGCCTGCAGGGCTTTTGCTCCTCACCTTGGGGTGAGGCCGGGAAGCAGGAAGGGAGGAAGGGTCACGGTCAGCACTGCTGCTGTGGCAAGCTGAACTCCTGCTGCAGGCCTGGCCCGGCTGGACCCCCAGGACCAGGCCTCGCCACCCAAACCCTGCCGCGGCCCCGGGACACCCCAGCCGCTGTCCTGCATTTTATACACTCAGCCTTCGGCGCTCACCCACCACGCTCCAGAGGCCCGAATGGAGATTCAGCCCGTCCTGCTACTCCAGCCTTGTCTGAGAGCAGAGAAGAGCACTTAAGCCGGTGACAGCAGAAGCAGGTGACACATGCGGCAGGTGAGGCAGGGGCCCCTTTCCTTCTCTATCTACCCTGCCAGGACACCAAAAGGGGCTGGCGTGCAGGCCCAGGTGGAAACCCTAGCCCAGTCCTCTGTTGAGGCGTTGAAGTGACACGCTCCAGGGCTGTCATCCGGATGAAGGGGTGGCGGGAACAGACAGTGTCTGCAGCACCCGGCACATAACTGCGTCACCAGTACGCATAACCACCAGCCCCGGAGACGCCACAGGAGGCCAGGCAGGTGGCCAGCACGCCCCGGGGTGACCTGATCAGCCACAGGCACTGGGATCACCGTCTCCCATACAAGGAAACCGAGGCACAGAGAGCTGACGTGGCCAAGCCCAGAAGGGGCCAGAGTCACCCCCAGGAGGCCAGCTCCAGCTCCACACTCCCAGCTGCCATTGTGGGAGCGATTCTGCTCCAACCCCTCCACACCTAAGAGGGCACAGGAGAGGGGCTCAGGCTATCCCTCAGGGAACCCCGGTTCAGGCCACCCAGCAGGGCCTGGGCCGCAGCTACCTGTCCCCAGCCCCGTCTCCACAGGGCAGCAGTGCTGGAAGCACATTCTTATATAGGTTCCCACGATTTAAAATCTTGGTTTTCCCAGGCAGCCAATTACTTAAGCTGTCAGTGTCTCCTGTTCCATCAACACCAACGTCCAAGCAGAGTCAGGAGGGGCTGAGGACCTGCTCTGGGTCCTGTAGAGCGCAGCTCTGGGAGGTCCAGGGCACAGGTCTGGCCGGCCCCTGTATCCTCCATGGACCAGGAGGGGTTCGCTCACTGCACTCTCCAACCCTGCTTCTCCTGACGTACAGTGGTGTGTTCACAACCCTGGGCTGTTGTGAAACATAAAAAACTCTGGACATGGTTATGCTATTGAATGGGGGGGTGTCTCGGGGAGTTGTTTCCAGGTTCTTGGTGTCCCGAATAACTGAGTACAATACTCAGAGTAGTAAGATTTATTAAAAAGGATCAACAAAGGGGTCAGGGATGTAGCTCAGTGGCGCCTCGTCTGTCTGGCAAGGTCTGGAGTTCGATCACCAGTATGGGGTGGGGGGTAACAAGAGTAAGCGAAAGAAGTGTAGCTCCACAGAGCTCACGGATCAACAGAGGCAGCACTGGATGGGAGGACTGGAGTCACAGCCCAGCCGGGTACCTGATTCCACCCACCCTTGCAAGGGGGTTTTGACCATACCAGGTTTTTAGAGGAAGTGTCATGGTGTCCAAAGCCCACAGGGGGTGGGTGTCAAAACCCCAATGCAAATGAGGCTGGATGCAGGCCAGGGCCCTGTACTTGCAGTCCTTATTTATTTTCTGATGTTTTGTTTTTTGTACTGGGGATTGAACTCAGGACCTTGAGCTTGCAAGGCAGGTGGTGGCACCGCTGAGCTAAATCCCCGGCTAGGCCCTGTACTTTTAGGTTTACACGTGCCTGGGGGTTTGGGGGGGAAGGAGTGACCATTGTCTGTTGGTTTTCTGATATTTTGGCACAATCATGCCTGCTCTGTTTCCTCAATTCTTGTGCCATGGCTTTCTGTCATTTACTTGTCCTTGCTCCAGCCCCTGCTTGGGTTCTAAAGCCCAAAGCACCAAACACCGTAAGAGGCCTGCTCTGCAAACTTTCCCAACAAACAGTGTGCTAGCACGCACAGCAGGAGGGCCCCGTGTGGTTTAGACGGAGGAGGAGACAACTTAACCAGTCCACCCTGGGAAAGTGTCTTTCGATGCTGAGCTCTAGTCACGTGGCAGAGAAGGTTCTCAGGGTGTGGACAGGAAGGGGACCCAACAAGGGCTCAGAAGTCACAAGTGACCATGCAGGTGAGGACTGCAGTCTGATCCGCTGCCCTCGCCCTCCGTGCAGCAACCCCGGGCTACGGAGGAGGGTGTGCTGGGGTCCCGGGGCCTGTGGCCTGAGGCCCCAGAGGGAGGGCAGAGCCAGGTCGGTGTGGCTCCTGAGCTGATGACTTCCCGGGAAGGGGCGGACAGTGTTCTGATGCCCCCCACCCCGGGGACGAGAGCAGGCCGGGGGCTAGGCCTGGGAAGAATCCGACTCAGGCCGAACGTGTGACCTTGGCAGGTGGCCGGCCCGTGCCCCGGTGTCACCTTCGGCCTGCTTCCTAGGGTCACCGGAGGACGGATGGACCTGTGTTCTCCACAGCGCTGAGCCCAAAGCGAAAATCAACGCTGGCCTAAACCAGCCTCTCAGCGGTGCCTGCTGCTCCGTCTGAATTCGTCTTGTCCGCCGGGGCTTAGGAGCTATGACGCGGAGCCACCCTCGCGTGCGCGCGCGCTGACACCCACAGCTCGACGCGCAGACGCGCCAGGCCCGCGCTTCAGAAGGCGGAAGGGGGATCGCGAAAACGAGCTTGCAAGGACACCCCACTTGCAGGGCAGCGGCGCCGCCCAGGGGTCCACGTCCCCCGCGGGTCTCAGCCCGGGCACGCAATATCCCTTCCTCTTCCGTTGCCGCTCCGCGTCTCCCTGGCAATCGTCCTCGACCCCGCCCCCTTTCTAAACACGTAAACAGGAAGTGGACCTGCGCATAGGGCACTTCCGGCGCAACGAGGGGCGGGAGTGATTATGAACAGAGGCGGACAGAAACCAATTGTAGGCGAAGACTGGGGAAGAGCCAATCCTGAGCCAATCCTGAGGGCGGTGGATCTGGTGGGGGCGGGTCCTAGGGGGCGGGACAGGAGGGGCGCAGCCAATCGCGGCGGGCCACTGGAGGGCTGGGCCGGGCAGACGGCAGTGGTCTGCGGTGCGACGGCCGCTGGCTGGGGGTCGGTCGGGGCCGGGGCGGCCATGCTGCAGCTGCGGGACTCGGTGGACTCGGCGGGCTCGAGCCCCACGGCGCTGCTGGCGGCCGGCGAGGCGGTGACGGTGTGCGGCGCGACCGTCGGCCGGGCGGGGGCGGGTACGCCGCTACGCCAGACTCTGTGGCCGCTCAGCGTCCACGACCCCACGCGCCGCGCCCGCGTCAAGGAGTACTTCGTGTTCCGGGTGAGGATCGGGCCGGGGCGGTCGGGGCGCTCGGGCCGGCCGGGCTGGGCCGGGGCAGGAGGGGGACGGACGGCCCGGGACCGGGAGGCCCGAGAGTGACCTCCCCCCCGGCCGCCCCAGCCCGGCACCATCGAACAGGCGGTGGAGGAGATCCGCGCCGTGGTGCGGCCCGTGGAGGACGGCGAGATCCAGGGGGTGTGGCTGCTGACCGAGTAAGCCGGGCCGCCTGGGGACACGGGGCACGCCCCGGGAAGGCCTCTGGTCCTTCCCCGAGGGTGGTCCGGCGCCAGCGCGATAGCCCGCGGTGACTGTCTTCGCCTGCAGGGTGGACCACTGGAACAACGAGAAGGAGCGGCTGGTACTGGTGACCGACCAGTCGCTGCTTGTCTGTAAATACGACTTCATCAGCCTCCAGTGCCAGCAAGTGGTCAGGGTGGCGCTCAGCGCTGTGGACACGATCTCCTACGGAGAGTTCCAGTTTCCCCCGAAGTCCCTCAACAAGTAAGTGCGTTCTGAGAATCCGGTACCAGCGGGTCTTATTAACCAGCCCTTTCAACCCAGTTCTCTGGTGGTGGTCTTGTGTCTGCCTCATGTGTAAGCTGGGGACCTTAGCTTCAGAGATGTGGGAAAGCGATCAATTCTTAAAATAGAAGGAAGTGGCTGCCGGCCAGGGAATGGCACTAAAGGATTCTGGCACAAAGACAGCTATAAAGGCAGCAGGAAAAAGGGTTCAAGAGGGTCTCAGATATGTTGAGGTGGAGCCAGTGTGTTAAAAGCACACTGATGTTCCTCTGGTAAGGGCATTAAATCTCTAGCCTAGAAAGGATCTCACGGCCTCATCCAGTCTTTTTGTGTTTTATTCTTTTTGTTTTTGGTACCGGAGATCGAACTCAGGTCCTTGCTCTTGCGCAGCAGGCAGCGAAACCACTGAGCTAAATCCCCGGCCCCAATCTTTTTTTTTTTTTTAGGGAGGAGAGGTTTATTTTGGCTCACAGTTTGTAGAGGTTTCAGTCCATAGTCCACTGGCTCCAAAGTGGGACAGCAAGCCAGAAGGGCCTGGCAGAAGAAAATATCTTCATGGCATAGCTGCAGGAAGCAGAGAGAGATGAAGGGAGAAGCCATGGAGCTACATCCTTCCAGGCCGTGCAGAATGACCACCTCCTCCCACCAGTCTTCTCTTCCCAACTTATATTTAGCTATAAACTCATCTGTGCACTAATCCATTCACCTCCCCAAAGCCCCACCGGTGATCCCATGAGGCTTTGCAGGGTACGTCTAGATAGAAACCATATCGTTTGGTCCCTTGTACCCAAAAGATACATGCACATCTTTTTATGGAAAGTGTATTTAATTCATCTGTAAGAATTGCTAAAGTCCTGGCAGTTCCAGCATTACAGTTCCAAGCCCAAAATCTCCTCTGAGTTTTAAAGCAAACTTTACTATCAGCTCTTTTAACAAATAAAAAAGTAAAGCAGGAGATTTAGCTCAGTGGCCCTGAACCTGAACCTGGCTTGCAAGTGCAAGGTCCTGAGTTTGACTCCCAGTACTGAAAATAAATAAATAAAAGAAAGTAAACACTACTGGCATTTAAAGGCAAAGAGTAAACATTCCCTTTTCCAAAGGGAGAAATGGGAGAAGGGGGAGGGGAGAGAGGAACAGGACAAAGCAAGACTGAAAGCCAGCTGGGAAAACATTAAATCTGATAGTTTAATGTCTGGCACCCTGGGTAATCGGTGGCAAGATGTAAACTCCCAACTGCCTGGACAGCCCCAGGCCTGTGGCATCACTGGTGCTTGTGGCTCTCACAGCTTCTCCCTTGGGCTGGCTTTGCTCACTGCTTGCAACTTTCCTCAGATGTTCAATGTTCCCGGCTTCTCTAGCTTGCTGGCATTTCCACTGCACCTTTGGCTTCACACTCACAGCTTCCTCTCAGGGACACTGCCTGGCCTCCCAGGCCTTCTGATACCTGAATAGAAGCCCCTCTGGACCCTACAGCTCTTGCATTCTGCATGCACATAAAATGAACACAGTGTGGATGACTCCCTTTGTGTCTTGCCAGTGATTGCAGAGGCCTCCAAGTGCCTGGTTGGCTGAGCAAGGTAAACTGAGTCCCAGGGAATGGGTTCCGCTTTCCTTAGACTGCTGCTTTTCTGGAGGCTGGTGCCCTGGGCGGTCTTCTCCAAGCAAAGTCTCAGCTTTCTACCTTTGAGTCTGAAAAGGTGTGGTCTTTCAGAATTCCTCCCATGTCCTTAAGGCATCACATGTAGTCCAAATCCAAAGTATTTGGCTTCTTTTTAATGCTAATCTTTTTATGCGCCAAGCTCTCTGCTCCAACTTCACCAGCCCCAACTTCCTTTCTTGCCAAACTAAAAACTTTAAAAATTATTCAGCTGTGAAAAAAAAAAAATTACTCACCTGTGCCATTTGCTCTTGATTCTCAACATAAATCTAGATAAACACCCTCAACAACATCCATGCCACAGTTTCAATATTAGGCTTCCTTGAATTTTCCTCTGCCAGGTTAGTCAGCTACTCTTCATCTCCCACAAAGTCTCATGAGCAAAATGTAGACCAGTTTTTCACCAGAGCCTAACACACACAGTCTGGAATGCAGTTTGCAGTGGCGTCCTTCCCATCTGAAAACTCCTGAGCCCGGTCTCTTCCATCTGCTTCTCTGTCAGCATTCTGGTCCTCTGAGCTCAGAGCAGAATCTCCCATCAAGCTTGGCCGCAGCATCCTAGGGCTGCTTCTCCAGCCAGCATCTCCAAACCTCTGCAGATTCCTTCATAGCAATGACCCCAAGTCTGGACCAAAGTCTGTCTCGGTTACTTTCTCGTCAGTGAGACACGATATACTGTCACGCCTGGCCTGAGAAGGCCTTTACTGGCGGGCACCCAGAGAAGAACAAAGATAGTAAATCATGTCCCAAGTGCTGCAGTTCCAAGAAGCCTGATAACATCTGCAGCCACTGCCCTTCCTGGGTACCAGGACCTCAGTCTTATCTGCCCAAATTTCTCAAGACAATAATCCTGCCTCTTCCCTTTAAATTCTTTGTTCTCTGCCTGCTCTATGGTGAGTTACCTTTTCAGACTCAGCCCACTTGTGCACTGGTTTGTAAGTGAATAAACACCCTCCTCACACAAGGCCTGCTGTGAGTGTTCCCCCCCGCCAGTACATACGTGACACCCACAACTTAAAGGTTTATTTTGGCTCACTTTGTAGAGGTTTCACTCCGTAGGCCACTGGCTCCAAGGCAGGATGCATGGCAGGGGCACACAGGAAGGCGCCTCCATGTCATGGTGGCAGGAAGCATAGTGTTTTTTTTGAGGCAGGCCTCAGACTTGCAGCGATTCCCCCACCTCAGCTTCTGACTGTTGGGATTACGGCATGGACTACCATGCCCAACATTTGAGCATCTTGATTTGCCAATACACTTTCCTTTTTTTGGGTACCGGGGATCGAACTCGGGACCTTGTGCTTGTGAGGCAGGCGGCAGAACCACTGAGCTAAATCCCCAGCTCCCGAGCATCTTGATTTGAAAGAATTTTTTGAAGCATAAAAATGCTAGACCTGAGAACAGTCAAAGTAAATTTCAGAGATGTGATGTAGAGGCTTGGATAGGAAACATGTTTGCTTTCCATCACTATGACAAAATACCTGAGATCAGTGGAGAAAGAGGAGAGACTTACTTGGGCTCACAGTTTCTGAGGCCTAAGTCCATGGTTGCTTGCGGGCATTGCTTTGGGTCTAGAGAGAGGCAGAACATCGCATTGTAGAGTGCAGAGCAGAGGGGAGGGCCTACATCCGTCCCGTCAGGGATGGACTCCCAGTGACCTGATTTCCTTCTGCTAGGCCCTCCCTCCAGGTGCCATGGCACCTGGCAACAGCCCCTGCAGCTGAGACCAAGCCCTTAGGACATGAATTTGGGACACACTTATGATCCAAACCACACCAATGAGTGTAAATTTTAACTAGTATTTAATAAGATGAAAACGTGAGTCATTTGACTATAGATTATCTACCATGTGTCCTCATGAATTTTAATAGGTGTATAAAGATGAAGTTTAGGGGCCGGGGATTTAGCTCAGTGGTTTCGCCGCCTGCTGCGTAAGCACAAATGACCCGAGTTCAATCCCCTGTACCAAAAAAAAAAATGAAGTTTAGCGTAACCAAGATAATGTGTTTGTCGTATTTCTTTCTTTGCTTATTGTGGTACTGGGGATCGAATTCGGGACCTTGTGCTTGTGAGGTAGGTGGCGGAACTACTGAGCTAAATCCCTGGCCCTATATTTGTCATATTATAAGTACTTAAAAGTTGGGATCCCAGCACTCGCAAGGCGAAGGCAGGAGAATTGAGTTCAAGGCCAGCCTGAGCTAGATAGCAAGTTCCAGGCCAGACTGGACTGCACAGTGAGACCTTGTCTCAAGTGGATGGACGGACGGAGGATGGTATTTAAAGCAGTTGTTAGTGGAGTTAGCATCATCGCCATCGAAACCAGGAACCATTATGCACCGGGAGAGCTCCCAGGTCTTTGCCGTGCACACAGAGCTGCCGGGGCTGTCAGCCTCGCGCCTGCCCCTGCCCCTGCCCCTGCCCCTGCCTGCTGTGTTCACGCGGCTCTCTTCTCACTCACCAGGCGAGAAGGCTGTGGGATCCGTATTCAGTGGGACAAGCAGAGTCGTCCTTCCTTCGTAAACAGGTGGAATCCCTGGTCCACAAACCTGCCCTATGCCACTTTCATCGAGCACCCAATGGCCGGTGTGGACGAGAAGACAGCAACCCTGTGCCACGTAAGCAGTCCCTCGGCATTAGCACCCGTGCGTGCCAGCGGGGTGAAGGGCCCAGGTGGCCATGAGTGGCTGAGAAGCCCTTCAGATGCCTGACTAGTGATGCGGAAATGGGCTCGTAACACGGGCGGGTGAGTGAGTGGCTGCTGGTTGCCGGGGCTCCCTGACAGTCCTTGGGGCCGGGACCCTGGGAGAAGAGCCCAGGAGGGCAGCAGGGCACAGCAGCTGACCCCGGCCAGGCTGGAGCAGAGCCCAGCACATGGGTGGGGTCTGCTCACCTGGGGGTTCTGGCAGGGGATGGGCAGAGTGGCGGAACCGCTGGGTCCTGTAGACGGTGAGGGCTCTGGCGTGCTGGCTGACCTTGTCACCAGCGAGCATGCGTTTGGTGCCAGCACACTTGCCCAGAGAGCTTCTCCTCGGGGACCTGTGCCCAGGGACCACACAGTGTGGTAGAGGCGCCGTTCCCAGGACGACGCTCAGCTCAGCAAGAGTGCAGTCACAGCCGCGTAGTGACGGCTCAGCAGCGGTGGACTGCATGTCCTGTGTGGACTTCTCCTGGGACAGTGGTGGCGAACCTTTTAGAGACCACATGCCAGGGTTCACCCAAAACCTACTTATATATCACAGAGCGCCAACACTCAATTCAGCCTGACTACTGAGGTTTTAGTTTAGAAAAAACAACTCGTATGTTAGCAACTTTTGTCTTAAAAACACAGTAACATGCATGCCACAGGTTTGCTACCACTGCCATAGGGTAAGAGCCCAACAATTCCATTGGCCTCGTGATGTCATAGTTACCTTAATGTTGTCACTGTGAGTCACATCCCTCACTGCTGAGGAGGCTGCTGGTGTGAGCTCACCTCTGTCACCGCAGGGAAGCATAGCAAGTGCAGTTACAGACAGTGTACAGTTCCTGAGGACGGTAGTAAGTGTGTGCCTGGTTTATGCATCTATCAGCAGATTGACTATCCTACTAATAAAAACACTCAGTTGGTTCACCTCCCTACACTAGCAGCAGCCTCACCGCCCTCCCGCTTGCTTCGTGTCTGATGGACCCAGCCATCTGGGGGTGTGCAAGTACACACTGCTGTGCACACGAGGACGAAATTGCCCAGCGACGCATGTCTCAGAGCATGTCCTTGTCATTAAGTGATGTGGGACAGCGTGTGGACTGGCCAGGGGCGGGGGGCCGGGGGGTTAAATTTCTCAAACTGCTGATTTTCCCACCTACCGGATCATCCTTCTCTTGCCTGAAGACTGAAGCTCTGTGCTCTCTCTCTCTGCAGTTAGAAAGCTTCAAGGCTCTGTTGATCCAAGCTGTCAAAAAAGCACAGAAGGAAAGCCCTGTGCCAGGGCAGGTGAACGGCGTGCTGGTCTTGGAGCGGCCCCTCCTCATCGAGACCTACGTGGGACTGATGTCCTTCATCAACAACGAGGCCAAGCTGGGCTACTCCATGACCCGGGGCAAAATAGGTTTCTAGACGGCTGTGCGTGGGAGCAGCAGCTGTGGGGGAGCGCAGGCTGGGCACTGGGCGCAGTCCATGCAGCCCAGCAGATCCCGTAGGACAGGAGCAACAGACAAAGGCAGGAAGACATAGCTTAGCTGTCTGTGCTGCCGCCTCCTGTCCCCGCCTCTGTTTGCCTCCTGTACTCCTGTGTGGTGTTTCCTGGTCCCGCCCACCCCTCCAGCATGCTGAGCCCGGACCGCACCCACCTCTGCTGTGTGGATGGCTGGGTCAGGGCAGGGACCTGGTGTTTCCACATAACACTTGTGCATATGTTTACACTCGGTGTCAAATTTTATATTTTGAAACTTAATCCTTTTTTTTTTTTAGCTAAACACAAGAGCAGCCAGCCAGCAGCCTGGTCTCTGAGCGAGATGAAGTCTGTGGCTCATCAACCCCTCGTGAACAACTCTTTTGTAAAAATGTTTGATCTAAGTCACACTTTCTAGGGCTGATCCAAGTCATCAGTACTTGGGCATCTTTCCCAGGCCCACGAGGGTTTGCAGAAGCATTTACAATTTATCAGTTCAGGAAGCCACCCCGATAGTTCTTTGCACACGATTTTGACAGCTGTCTGGACCCCAAGTTCATATTGTTCTATTTCTGTTTAAAAGGGGACTGAGTAGCTTGCTTTTCAAAGAACGTGCTTTACAGAAAGCCACACAAGACCCCGACTGGCCGATTCCCATAGACCCAACGTATTGCTAGCTGCTCGAGCTCCCGCGCCTCCTGTTGCCACGTGTGGCTTGCGTGTGTGACCATAGCACTTGTAGACTAAATGCTGGCTCCTCGGTGTCTCCTCATTTTCAGCTGCTGTAGCTTTAAGCTGCCTGGCATGGACGTGACCAGGACGCCATGGCCTGTCCCAGTTGGAAGGCCGCCCCTGCAGTGCCCCGGCCTTCAGGCTGTGCTCTATCTTGTAGTAAAGACGTTTAGAAGCAAAAAGATGATGTTCCTTTTCTGAAGTTGTCAATAAGAGGTGCGGTGACCAAGAAAGCAGCTGTCTCGGCCCAGGCAGCTTTGTAACCCTCTGCAGGTGGGGAGCGAGGTCCTGACTCCACCCCTGCTGCCCACCAGGCACCTGCATGGCCGAGAGGTGGAGCCTGCTCTTGCAACTGGGGCCAGCAGCTCTTCCCTTGGGGGCGGCCTGCCTGCACTGACAGCCACCACCCTTCCTAATGTCCAGTGACAGTGGGCTCCATTTCAGGTCCTTGAGGCCTTCAACATTTTATGAATTAGCACAAAAAATTTATTTTAAATAATGAAAATTACAGCTTTCTACCATACATATTTACAAAATTGTCTTGCTGTAGAAAACTAGAATCCAGTGGAGGCTCTGCCCCGAGGTGGCTGCAACTGCCTTCCCGTGTCGGGGTGTGCCAGGTGCTACGCCTCGGCCTCCAGCAGGTCCTACACGTGGCCGTCCCGCAGTCCTGCGGCTGCCCCGGTGCCCTCCTTGGTCTCCAGGAAACAGAGGCAGAAGTGATCCTTACTTAGGAGGGCCAGGGAGTCCCCACTTGGATGCCAGCAGAGAGAAAGCACCAGAAAGTCACCTGGGGAGAGGTGGGCAGAGGGTCAGGGCAGAGGGCCGGGCAGCCCGCCGGACGAGGTGGAGCACTGGCGGTCCAGGGGTGTGGCCAGCTGGGCCTTGGGTCCCGTGCGCGCCTGCGCGGATGCACTCACCCTCCCCAGGCACCTGCACCGACACGCAGCCCGCCGGTGACCACAGGTAGACCTTGCCGCCCCCCGTGCAGAGGGCCAGCCGTGGCTGCTGCGGGTCCCACTGGAAGGAGCGCACCGGGGACAGCTGCTCGAGCACCACAAAGAGCCTCAGCTTCTGAATGTCCCAGACCCAGATGGCGTTGGGGACGTTGTCTGGGAGGGAAAAAGGGCAGTGTCGCCACTGGCTCTGGGCAGCCCAAGCCCTTGAGAGCAACCCGGGAAGGAGCTGCAGTTGGGCCTCCACGGTATGGACCTGGGCTTTCTCTGTTGCTATGTCTGTAAAGCGCTGTCCCACATTTTAAGATAAAAGGGCCCCAGGGTGGGCTCTGCCCTGGCCCTGCACCTTCCTGAGGAAGGGAAGAAGCTGGCTCCCCACAGAGCTCCTGAGGCGGGGCACAGGCTGCTCCGGGGTGATGGGGAGGAGCCAGGGAGTGAGCAGCACAGCGCCAGCGGCCAGGGCACTGACCATTCCTTGTCGCCAGGAAGTAGCTGTCAGCACTGAAGGCCAGCATCCCTACGCCCATCCTGGGGTTGGCCCTGTCAGCGGCTGGCTTCAAGGTCTGCAGGGAGACGGGCACAGAGGCGACCTCATCTGGAGCAGCAGAGGAGGACACTGTGTCACCGGAAGTGGCTCAGGCAGGGGATGGTGCCCAGGCTTCCGGGCCCTTGCAGAGGGGACCTGTGCTGACGGCAGGGCCCGTGGCGAGCAGCGCTGGGGCACCAGGCGAGCCGGGAGGGCACAGGTGGGTGGGCTGGCACCCGGCTCCGCCAGCCCCTCAGCTCTTGTCCCCGCTGACATTCTGGTCTCAGGTTCTTGGGTGCAGCAGACAAGCGGTGGACGCCACAGGGCTGGGCACCCTCTCCATGCCCTCAAGGCCTGGCTGCTGTGCGCGCACAGGCCTGCTCTGAGGTCCCCACGTTCCTATGCCCACTGCAGGGGCAGGGAGGCAGGCACAGGCTGCTCTGCACTCTGCCTCCCGGGGCCCACTCGGGACTGTGTATTCATTTAGGAATGCTCCTGAGGCCGGCACTCACACTCGGCGGTCACCCAGGAACCCCAGGCCACGTGCCTCAAGCAGAATTGCACACACGATGGACAGAACGTGGAAACTCACTTGCAAGCAGAGGCATCTTTTTCATTAAGCGATAAAGGAGGGGCTCAAGGAAGAAAGATGTGGCTCAGCGTGGCAGAGCACCAGGACCCCGGAAGGAAACAAGAAGACACGGACACACGCAAGTGCGCACACCCCAGCCGGCGGCAAGCTTACATCTGCTCTCCGCGGTGGCAGTGAGGGGACAGGCGCCTGCTCGGGACGGCGGGAAGGACAGGTGGCCCAGCGCCAGCGGCGGGCTCTTCTTGGCTTCCTTGTACACAACCTGAAAGACAGGGCGGCCACCACCCAGCACGGGAGGGACGGAGGAAGCAGTGCCACACCAGAGGCCAGTGGGGGAGGCCGTGGTGGCACGGACACGGGAGGTCCCAGGGGCCCCTTGAAGGGGACAGTGGGACCTGGCCCTCCTCCTCTTCCTCCTCCTCCTCTGCTTCCAGCACCTGCTCTCATCCCCCACAGCCAAGTGGCGGCAGAGTCTCACGCCGGGCCTGAATGGGCCTCCTCCTTCAGCTCCCTCTCAGGCATTCGCCACAGCCACGGAAACCTGTGCCCGGGCTTTCTCCTACAGCAGGGCGCAGGCTGCAGGCTGCAGGCAGAGCCCGGAAGCTGCGGCCAGTCCCACTCTGCAGGCCCCTGCCCTGCACTGCCTGGCTCAAGTCCCCGACGCCCTGCACGTCTGGCCATCTTCACTCAGCATCACCTCTGAAGGTCCCTGCCTGCAGCCCGGCCCCACTGACCACGGGGACTCAGCTCCTGCCACCCCGGCCCTGGCACCCAGCAGGTGGTGGGGCTGGTGAATGCTGCTGCCAGGCCGCCAGGCTGCCCCAGAACCCTGTGCCTCTTGTTCCCTGGCCCTAGGGTGCTGCCTCGCTAGAGCCAAGACACCCAGCCCCAGCCCTTCCCCATCCATCCTGTCCCCGCTTCTCTGGCTGAGGCCCAGGGCACAGTGCTCAGCAGGAGGGCAGATGGTCCGTGTTTTGGGGCAGGGCTTGGTCTCTGCCTTTTCATACAAGGATCTACCTTGGGACAGATGGAGACTGTGACACCTGGCTGGGGACGGGCAAAGGAAGAGCCTGTGAGTGATATGACAGGAAATATAAACTGGGCACAGTGGTGCACGCCTCTAATCCCAGCACTCGAGAGGCTGAGGCAGGAGGATCACTGTGAGTTCGTGGCCAGCCTAGGCTACATAGTGAGTTCAAGGCCACACTGAAATAGGTAGTGAGACCTCGCCTCCAAAAACCAACAAAAGACAAGAGCATGGGTGGAGCCTGGCACTGAGATGTCCTAATGTCTTATCGGCAAAGTGTAGGGTGACAGAGGAACGGGGACAGTGGCATCACAGTGGCCACCGTGAAGTGAAACAGCAGCTCCCACCCACCCAAGGCGAAGCAGAAACACACTCCAGACTTACTGTCTTGGGGTTGTTGACGGCTGCAGGATGCCCAAACTCCGTGATCATCTTCCAGGTCACGTGGTTCAGGAGCCGCACCTGCAGAGGGGATGGTGGAAGCTGACGCCTGCTCAGGTGGCCCTGTGGGGTCCGCACGCCCTGTCCCCTGTCTGTGGCCCACCTTTCCGTCATAGCTCCCGATTGCCAGGAACTGGCTGCTGGGGCTCCAGGCCACAGACTTGATGCCCAGGGACCACTCGTAGGCACAGAACACCGAGAGCAGGCGGCCATCCAGGGAGTACAGCAGCATCTTGTACTGGGGCCGAGACAGTGACACTGCACCATCACCTGGCATGTGGCACAGACATGGCACCCGGGGGGAGCAGATGGCTCTCCTCCTCGGGAGCTGCGGGTGGAGCAGAGAGCCAGGGAACGCCAGCCATGGCCGGCCGGGTGCAGCTCAGCAGTGAGCGCTTCCCGAGCAAGCGTGAGGCCCTGGGCTCCATCCCCAGCTCCAGGGAGAGTTCCGGTCAAGATGTGAAGGAGACAAAGCCACACAGCCCGGAAAAATGCAGGTGGGCACTGCAGAGAGCGCATGTCCTGCGGCTCGTACCTCCAGGCAGGTGTCCCACACTGCCAGCACGCAGCCGTTGGGGGCCCACTCCAAGCCGGCCAGGTCCTGCGTGTCAGTGTCGAAGTGCTTCCAAAGCAGAAGGAGAAAGACACGCGATGACTTGAAGCCATCTGCTTAAAGAAACCCTGGTTTATTTTATAACTGCTGTAACATGTTTAGCACTTAATTTTCTAATACAAAAGTGGACAAAATCTCCACAGTCTCTCCCCTGTGACTGTCTGTGCCCGGCACCTGATCCGTCAGCCTTGACCAGCGACGAAGAACCTTTTAGAGCTTTCAGTGATAAACAGCACATGTGCCATAGGTCCGCCACCACGGCCTAGACCAACAATCAACAGCGCTGCTCCTGTAGCACCGCACACGCACGCACGCGCACACACACACACACACACACACAAACACACGCACACACACAGGCACACACGTCCCGTGAAGCTCTCACAGAGCCCTGAGGGCGCAAGCAGCCAGCACACGAATGGCTCAATCTCCAGGTAGTGTCCTCAGTGACTCGTGGCACTGCCTGGAGACACCGAGCCCCGCTGCTCCCCACATGCCACAGACCTTTAGGCCTGAGCAGCATCTACGCCGCCCCCTCCCCAGCCCACGGGACAACTGAGAGGAGCCCTACCCGCAGGAGCTGCCAGTCGCTGCACACCAGGATGCTCACGTAGTCCTTGCAGTCCCGACGCTCGGCCAACGCCATGTAGCGGCCATCCCTTGTGAACGTTATTCCTGTGCATGGACAGCTGAAATCAGGCCATGCCCAGGTAAGAGAAAGTAAGCAGTCACTTTCAAGTAACAATAAGAAGCTAGGCGTGGTGATGCACACCTGCAATCCTAGCTAATCGGAAAAGCTGAGGCAGGAGGACTGCAAGTATGACATGTGCCTATCTCAAAGACTAAAAAGGCTCGGTGGGTATTTGGGGGGTAGAGCCCCAGGTTCAATCCCTGGTCTGCAAGACAAAAGGTAAACAACACAAATGGGAACTACTTTTCTTTCTTTTCCTTTTTTGGGGGGTTTTTTGAGACAGGCTCTTGCTATGTATCCCAGGCTAGCCTCCAACTCATGGTGATCCTCCTGCCTCAGCCTCCATGGGCTGGGGTTACGGGCATGGGACACCACGCCTGGCTGGAACTACTTTTCCTCAGGTGAAGGAGATACTCTGTTTGGAAAGCAGAAATTGTACGGAAGTGTGGGCTGTCCCCTCAGCACGTGCCAAGGGCGGGGACTGCAGGCTGCTGGCTTACAAGGGATCTGCTACTCCGACCCTCACGAGACCTCCGACTTGTCACAAGCTATGACTAAAGAGCGCAGCACCTTACGGAGCATCAGACTTTTAGAAAACAGATGGCAGGAAATCCAGGAATAATTTTCAAGTAGTCAGAAGCGGGTTCACTACACTTCTGTTTTCACTTTTGAGCTTTGGTTGGAAACATTAAACTGCATTTTACAGTGCTGTGCTGGCTTCAAAAGCGCAGAGCCCCGAGTCCTGATCTGGCTGGGGAGCTGCGAGTCCCCTCCTCGAGATCCCCATGCACTCAGTGTGAAACGGGCGAGGCTCACTGTGCCTTTGACTCTGGGGCACTTCCCACCTCAGCCTCAGGCTGCAGGAGCCCGGCCCAGCACACTTTGCCCTTACGGTCCACTTCCTTCCGGGCCTCTCAGGGATGGGGGTGGAAGCTGCTCAGGGAAGGTCCTGTAGGGCCGGGGGTGCGGGAGCCACCCAGCGGGAAAGTGCACGCATGAAGGTCAGACCTGCAGCACAGCCGGGGAAGCACTCACCCTGCAGGCAGGCTTTGGGGTACTTGATGTAGGACACAGACTTGGTGCACAGGGACCAGACCGTGATGCGCAGCTGTCGGGAGGGGCAGAGAAGGGGGTCAGCAGGCACTCAGACCTCCGGGAAGACTCAGAGCCAGCGCTGCAGGGCTGCCTCCCGATGACGATGAAGGCGTCAGGCATCCCTTTACCACCCGTCTCTCCTTTGTTTGGTAACAGCATTATGTGGGTGACCCAAAGTCCATACGAGTGCATTTAGTTCACTATGTCAAATCAGGGACCGGGGATGTAGCTCAGTAGTTCCGGCACCTGCTTCACAAGTACAAGGACCCGAGTTCAATCCCTGGTACCAAAAAAAAACACAAAACCCCACAAAGTAATCAGGGCTTGCAAAGCCTCAGAGTTACTCAGTCAGAAAACATCTTCACACAGGGAAGCCGCGCTGCTGCCTCCCCTCGGAAGCAGAGAAGCTGCTGCAGACTCGGTCTGGTTCTGGCCTGGCTCCCACTTTCACCAGTGACACCAAGGGCTCTGCTGGCAGCTGCTGCAGAGTAAAGACACCTGTCCTCCCCTCTCCCCTCCGAGGTCCGCAGCCCAGAGAAGAGCAGGACACAGATCCCGAGGAGGGAGAGGCCCAGTGGGACTGCACCCAGGCCAACTGCCACCTGCTCTCAGGACAACCTGTCGGCTGTCCTTCTCCCGCCCTTCCCAGCGGGGCCGCCTGGCAGAGGAGCAAGGGGCAGGCGCAGCCTCCTCAGGTGCTGCAGTGTGGCTTCCTGCGCCAAGGAGCCCTGCAAATGCCACCTGCTCGTACTGCGGAGGATAAAAGTGAAGCAGCTCCATCTCTCCACACCACAGGAAACGGGACGTGCACCACTTGACCAGAGCGCCTGCCCTGGCTCGGGTGCACAGGTCCTGGGTGCAGGGTGGGGGCCGCTAACGCCATCCTAGAAGGCTGCTTGCCAGGGGAGCGGGAGCCAGGGCTCGGCCTCAGAGCCCCTGCCATGCTGGGCCCCAGGCGGCATCAGGCCAGAGGCCCTGCAGTCCATACCCCACCAGGACCGGGTCACCCTTGCGGTGGCTCAGGTGCCCTAGGCGCAGGGTGCAGGAGTGTGCAGCAGGCAGCAGGGCACAGCCGGCCTGCAGGGCACGTGGGACCCGGAGACACTCGCCTGGGAGCACAGCCCTGTTCCGGGCTGAGGTGCAATTGCCCTGGACTCCCAGAGCTCGGTGGGGGGGGGGGATCTCACAAACACAGGGCGGGAAATGGAGAGGACACAGCCAGCTTCTATCCGTCACCCTCACCAGAAATAAAGCACTCTACAAAAGAACTCCTCAGCCAGCTGGGCGAGGCCATGCGTGCCTGTAATTCCAGCACTCGGGAGGTTGAGCCAGCAGAATTGCAGGTTCAAGCCCAGCCTCAAAATGAAAAAAGTTCTGGGGATGTAGCTCAGTGGCATCTGCCCAGGTGGTGTAAGGCCCTGGGTTGGGTCCCTACTACTGCCCCTGCCAGCAGAGGTAAGCATTCACTGTGTCACCTCTACTAACTCACAGTGACAACTGCAGAAACAAGCTCCCTGACGCTCAGGCCTCCCAGCGACACTGGCTAGCAGATGGCAGCTCACAGAGGGCAGGGACCTCACGGGGTGGGGGACAGGGACACCGCGGCCTGGGTGGACCCTGCATGTCGGTTGCGCCACTGATTCAGACTTTGAAGCAAAGCCACAGAGAGAGAGAGAGATGTGGCCAGAGGTGGTAGGGAGGCAAGCGGGGAAGGGACAGGGTATGGGGCACAGGTGCCGGACTGGGTGCTGCCCCTGCTCTGATTGTGGGGTCATGCACAGACCAGACCCTGAGCCAGCATCACCGCCCCCCGCCCCGCTTCTATTTTAACCTAATTATGGGCTACTCACAGCAAGTGCACTAAAACTGAAGGACACAGAAGAGATGAAAAGAGAAAGAAAAAGATGTACCATGAGAACACTAATCAATAGGACAGGGCTGCTTTATTGAATCCCAAAAAACAGGCTTTAAAATAAAAATAAAAAGAGAAATACTTTATAATAAAAAGTCCATTTACAATGAAAACGGGGCAATCAGTTTTAAGTCTGTATGAGGCTAACAACATGGCCTCAAAAACACACTGGGTGTGGTGGCGCACACCTGTGATCCCAGCACTCAGGAGGCTGAGGCAGGAGGATTGCTGTGTGTTCAAGGCCAGCCTGGGCTACACAGTGAGTTCAAAGCCAGGCTGGACTACACAGTGAGACCCTGTCTCAAAACACAAAACAGAGCATGTAAAGATCTGATGGACTTAGGGCAACAGAAAGGAGTGAGTCCCACCACACCCTGAAATATATTTCATCAGTATTGCACTGACACTTCAGCAGACCAGCAAGCAACAGAATGGAAACCTGAAGTTACCTTGTGACCACAGAGGCACTCGGTGCTGCTGCAGCGGGGAAGATGGACCCCCAGACAGGGTTGTCTTCTGTTGCTGCATGTGGTGTTGGTGACTCCACTCGGGGCCTTCACAAAGAGTAACATCTGCGTCCCCTTTTTTATTTTTTATTTTGATACGAGCTCTTGCTAGGTCCCCCCGGCTGGGCTTACACCTCTGGCTTCCAGGCCTCTCACGCACAGTACACACACTCACCCAACCCTGGCTTTCCTGCTCCCGGCTACTGCAGCGGCAGAGGACAAAGGACTGACTCATGCCTGGCTGGGGCAGTGGACAGAGGGCTCAAACTTACGTGGAATTCGGTTGTGTTCAGAATGTGGCGCCCATCCGGGCTCCAGCACGAGGCCACCAGCCCTGCCGATCCCTCGTCGATTTTGCAGTGCCACTCCGGCTGCTCCAGAGACCAAACCTGGCTCACAGGAGAGAGAAGGGTACACTGCAAACGGAAGCCCTCCCCAAGGGGCCGAAGGAGGCTAAAAGACAAGCAGCCCCGGCTCTCATTGAAAGCACCCACACTGGGGGTCACCACGCCAGCAAGCCACGGCTCTCGAGGCTTCCTTTTCTTGTAGTCTTAATGCTGCCATTGCTGGGGCCTCACATGGTTGGGCTCCTGGCACCTAACAAAACACTGCCTTCCAGGACTCCCCAAAACACAGTGTCCAAGTTGCTAGGCTGCTACTGGGAAACACCTCACTTCTCAGTTTGATTTGCTCAGAGACTAAGAATATTTTTGTACTTTCTCCTTTAAAAAGTACTTAGATAAAACAGTAGTGACCATTACAATTTTAAACCATTAAAACCCATGCCCCCCTGTACCAGGAAGTGAACTCAAGACCTTTGCACTTGCCAGGCAGGCTTGGTGCCGCTCAGCTACATCCCTGGCCCCAAAACCATTAAAATTTTAAGAACTGACTTTGGAGATATACTTCCTTTTTCCACACCAGGAGGGTACAGAACAAAACCTGTCCTTCCTGGTGACTCCTGGGGGTGTCCCCTCCCTCACCCACACTGCGCACTCACCTGCACCAGCCCCCGCTTGTACATGGCACACAGGATGAAGAGGGAGTCTGCTGACCACTCCATGTGCTGGACCTGGTCCAGGCACGTGTACAGCTGCAGGATCTGCAGGGTGCTCGCATCCCGGACAACCAGCCGGTACTGGACACAGGAAGCCTGCAGGGTCACGGAAAGAAAGCCCTCGACACTTTCCACTCTGAGGGAAGGCAACCTTCCAGGGGCCAGCAGCCCTGACTCAGCAACTCTCCTCCCTCCTGTCCAAAGTATTTTATATCCACCCAGCTTTACGTTCGTCAGCCATTATACAGCTTATTCCCCAAATAAGATGAGTTAATACAAGATAAAATTACACATACAAACCAGGTTAATCATTTTATACCCTACGACCTTGATTTGATCATTACTCTGTCACATGTATTATCACACTCTACTCCATAAATCTGTAAGAAATAATTTTTATAAAACTGAATTGCTATACTCTAGTATAAAGTATGAGTACTTTAAAACTACTTAACGCATTTCTATTCCTTTTTTAAACTGTATGTTAAAAACAGCTTAGGTAGAAAACAGCACTAGGAAAAAGCTCTTCTGTGACTAATATTAGATCCTCTCCTAATTCAGTCACTTTTAGACCATTTCCTCAAGTTTAAAAAGAGTTAAGAATCGGGCTGGGGATTTAGCTCAGTGGTTCCACCACCTGCCTCTCAAGGGAAAGGTCCCAAGTTCGAGCCAAAAAAAAAAAAGTTATGAATCAAGGGCTCAAGCCAGGCATGATATCTCATGCCTGTAATCCCAGCACTTGGGTGGCTGAGGCAGGAGGATTGCTTCCTAGGCCACATAGTGAGTTCAAGGCCAGCCTGAACTACACAGCAAGACCGTGAATCAAAAAAAAAAGCCCATACACACACACACACACACACAAAACAAATAGAAAGTCAAGAGATGCCCTTTACATTCTGCAATTGTAAAGATATTTCATAAATGCTTATTTATCTGCATTAACTTATTATAACCAAATAAGAAAATGGTTGTTTTTTTTGTTTTGGTACTGGGGATCGAACTCGGGACCTTTTGCTTTCGAGGCAGGCGGTGGAACCACTGAGCTAAATCCCTGGCCCCGAAAATGGTTGTTTTGAATGTATTTTCTTAGAGATAGTTTCTTTGTGTCCATATTTAAGGAAATATTTTCTACACCTGAGTATCCACCTGTTGGTTATATATTATGCCACAGCCTAAATATCAAGAACTGACTTTTAAGTGCTGATTACTTCATTTTTGTACTTGCCAACGACAAACTAGAGTATTAGTTTGTCAATTTCTATCAAAAAAAGTGGAGCCACATTCATTTTCCATGGAAAAAAGGATGGAGATTGCAGACAGAAACAAGTATGTATTGCAGTATTTATTTTTTCACATTGTAGCTTTGAAAACTGTGATCTGTACAGTGAATTCCTTACAAAACAGAATATTCTTACTAATACTTGAACACTGGAACTGGAAACAAGAGACTTGCTTTGTTCAGTACTTAGGACAGGGCCTTCAAGAACATGATTACCCATGATTTTATAAACAGATTATTATCATGTGTTTCACAATATTTTGATGAGGGTATACAAACCAGAAAGCATCAAAATTAGCCAAGCAGATATAAGGCCCCTACCCCGGTACTTTGGGTGGAACCCAGGGCCTCGTGCACACTTCAGCATCTACCACTGAGGTGCATCCCCAACTCCTGATTTTCTCTTTATCATTTACTGAAACTTCTGTGCATGGTAAAGACAAAACCAAAACTCTAAATTTATGGAGGTGCAGTCGGAAAACATCCCGGAAACCTTGGGGTATCCCTGCAGTTAGTGACATTTTCTGTTTTGTTGCTGAACACTACTGTGTGTGATTTAGAATGATACCTCATAAAGAAGGTAAACGTGGAACTTGAGTTATGTTCTCAAAGGTCTAGAGCAGGGGTGGTGAATCTATGGCGTGTGCCATGCTGCAGCGGGCTGTGTTATCATTGAAAGCTCTAAAAGGTTCACCATCATTGGTCTAGACAAAGATAACAGGAATGTTAATAAAGTCTCAAACCGAAAAAAAATCATGAGGTATCAGTCAGTTAAATAAAAGATGGAGAGGTGAGCATAGGGTCACACACCTGTAATCCCTACTATTTGGGAGGCTGAGGCAGGAGAGTTCTAAATTCCAGTCCCCCGGGGGGAACTCAGCAAGACTCTGTCTCAAAGAGCTGGGGATGTAGCGCAATAGAACGTCTGACTAGCACAGCGGCCTGGGGTTCAGTTCCGGGGAGGGAAGCACGCTTTTTATGAGCCCTGCTTTTCCCTTTAGGACTTCCCCTGTCAATGACCTGCGCCCCTGCCCCGGGACACGCACTGATCACACCGGTGCGTTTCCAAACTTCCAGCTTTGGGGCTGATTTAAGTCCCATTCCGTCCTCCACGGAATGAGCAGCTCCAGTCCCACCGCAGAAGACAACTCTTTCTTTGCCTCAGGACAGAACAATACTGAAATCGTTTACTCGAACGTGGCAGAGAAGACAAAAAAAGTATCCGCACCACCGCAACAGGATGATCAGTTGCCTGGTGTGACAAAAAACAACGAGCTGACAGCTCCAGCGCCCTCCAACACCTGAAAGCTGCGCCGCCTGGGCCGCCTCGGGCCGAGGGAAAGCGCCGCAGAGGTAGGACTCCTCCCGGGCCGGCGGCCCGGACCCTGCGGAGCACCGGCGGAGTGGGAAGTCCTGCCCGCCGCCCGGTGCCCCCAGTCAAGGGTCCGCCCGGCCCTCGCCGCCGGGACGCGCTCGTTCCGCAGGTCCCGCTGCGGGCACAGGTCGCGCGCCGCCGCTCACCAGGTACTTGCCGTCCGGGGAGAATTTGCAGAGCAGGCTGGAGAGCTTGAACACTTCTGAGAAGTTCATAGCCGCGCCGGCTGCGAGCCCTGAGGCGTGTCGAAAGCCCACGCGGACCCGGCTGCTGCCCGCAACTGCCTGCCCTGCGCGGACGTGAGGAGCCGGAAGTGAGCCTCAAGCCAATGGGCGCCGTGGGTGGCCGCATGGCATTGTGGGGCTGGAAGTCCGCGCCTCGCGCCTGTAACGCGGGATCCACACAGTCTCCAAGTCGGCGCTGCGGGATGGGGAGGGAAGACCCGCTCAGCTGAGTGCACAGCTAAATTCGAAGTTAAGATAGACAAGTAATCTTTTTTTTTGAGACAGGGTCTCGCTGTGTAAGTTCAGGCTGGCCTCGAACTCGCGGCGATCTTCTTGTCTCAGCCTCCCAAGATTGCTAGGATGATAGGCGTGGCGCACCACGCCCGGCTCCAACCAATCATTTTTAGTATGAGTGTGTTCCCAAATACTGCACGGGACATACTTAGACTAAAACTTTGCTCGTCCTTTAAAATTTGAATCAAACTGGACGATCTGCATGTGTTGACACATACACACATCTGCAGGTGTGTAGTTGGTTGTGCCTCAGTATGCATACGTGTGTTCGTACAGGTGTTCAATATACAATACAGCGTCCATTACGTAGGCCCCATTGTATATGTAATGTATGAATATGTCGTGTCTGGTGTTATTTTGTTTCCTTTCTTCCTACACCGCACACCACGTGCCGCCTGGCCTCCGCTCTGCCCAGGCACCTCGGATCCAGGAACCGCTCTGCCTCGCGTGGGGCGCGAGCCCGATTGTCCGCCCAGTGCATCCGCGCCTAGACTTGTCAGGGGAAGGGAAAGGACAGCCCGAGGCCGCGCCGCGTTCCTGACCCCACCCAGACCCGGTCCCCTGCGGGAGCCTTAAACTTCCACTCCGCGCGGCCCACAGGTGCGGGGCCAGCCGCGCCCCGGGTTAGCACAGCCCACGGACTTCCCGAGGCGGCGTCGCCGTGGGCACAGGCACCGTGTGAAGCCCTGGGCTCGGAACGCGCCCACAGCGCCCGCTCCCAGCCCCGGTCCGGATACCAGGATGAGGTGGAGACTCCGCCTGCCAAGCGCCGGGCCGGCCTAAGCCAAGCTGCCCGGGGCTCGGAACGCGGGAGGCCGCGAGTCTCGGAGGACTCCGCGTGCCTTCCAACAATGAACAGCGCCGGGCCGGAGGGACGGGGTGCGCGCGCCCTGAGTGTCCGCGTCTGCAGTCGCCGCCTGGGGTCCGGCGCGTGCCTGGCTGGGTCGGGAGAGCCACCCGATCCCGGGGGCTCCGCGGGGCCCTCGTGCCAGCAGGGCCTTGACGCCCGTGGCCCCGGCCAGCAAGTGAGTGGGAGCGAGCTCTGCTCTGCGGGGAGACCGCAGGTTCGGCCCAGGGGAACCGGCCCCGCTCGCAGCCGTCCTCGGACGCTCGCCTGTCACCACCAGTGCGAGGCGGGTTGCGCGTCCCCTTCCCGACCCCGGATTCCCGGCGCGCAGAGGGGAGGGAGACCCGAGTCGGACGCGCCCAGGACAACGCACGAGCCCGCACCCACGGGGCCCCGGCTCCTGCGCGCCCCAGACCTGCAGGGGTCGCGGTCCCGGAGCCGGACCTGGTCCCGCCCAGTGCGGCGACCCCGCGGGGATCGGCTGGGGCCGCTCGCGCCAAACCGCGGCGGGAAGAAGGAGGGGCCGAGAGCGCCCCGGGACCCCGGCTCGGACGCGGCAGCTGGGGAGGCGGAGCGCGGGGAGGACCCCGGGCCCGGCCGCCTCCTCCTCCACGCGGGCGCCCGCGGTGCCTTCCCGCCGCCCGGCCGCGAACGGCGCTAAAGCGCGCTTATAACCCGCGCGCCCGCCCTGTGCCCACCCAGGGCCGCGACGCCCACGCCGGCTGCGTCCGCGCCAGGTAGGAGCGAACCCGGGCTGGCGGCTGGACCCTGGGAAGCGAGGCCGAGGGACGGCCTCCGAGGGGCTGCGAACGGGCAGCCCGAGGTCCCCCGGAGCTCGATCTGTCCCCACCCGGCGCCGGGGGCGGGTAGGGGGCGTGGAGCCGGGAGGAGAGGCGATCAGGGCTTCTGCTCACCCGTCCCGCTGCCCGCCTGGCTGGGGCGGCTCCGAGTGCCACCCGGGGAGGCTGGGGCTCGGTCGGGTGCCGGGACGTCGGGAGGGTCGCGGGGAGCCGACAAGCTCCTCCCCGCCGCGCCCGCGCCCGGCACCTGCGATGAGCGCACCAATCCGCAGGCGGTGGCTCCCCGATTCCCTCAAGGCTGGGCCCTCGGGGCCGGGAGATCGAGTCCCGCGCAGTCCGGACGGACGGCTGCTCCTCGGCCTGTCGAGGTAGAGGGCCTCGCCCGGCAGACCCGGACTCACCCTTCCCCTCTCGTGACCTCCTCTTCCAGCAGCCTCTTCCTCCGGGCTGGGGGCCCCTTCCCTGCCACCGCCCTGGGGGCCCCTTCCCTGCCACCGCCCGCTGTGTGAGCAAATCGAGGGCGACCAGTGCGCACCTCGGGGCGCCAAGGGGCTGGGAAAGCGGTGCTGCGGGCCTGGCCTGAGCTCACTTGACTCCTCGCGCTGCGGTCTGTTCCTTCACCACGTAGACACTTGGGCCTTGGGAATCACTAACACGGTGTTCTTTTGTTCCGCGGATTTTGTCTTATTTCGGTTTGTGATGCCATCATTGATTGGTGCTTGTTTGGCCTTAAGAATTAGTTTTTGGGAAACTGAGTCATCAGAAACCAAAATGCTTTGCCCCTTTGACAGGTACTGAGAGTTGATGAAAACCACCCGCTCTTTGATGTGTTCAATAAAAGGTAAAAAAGCGTTGCTTGGAGAACAAAAGGGAAGTGTCGAATGTTGCAATATGCAAATGTGTGGATTATGTATGCAATTTAAAAATAAGATAAGAAGTCAGGCTCCAAAAGCTTCAAAGGTGTTGCTCTCCTGAGTTGGGAGGTGACCTTCGAGGGGGCCCAGGGGCCCCATGACCCTAGTGGTGTAGAATTCAGAAGGCTGGGGCTGAAAGCCCTCTTCTTTTTAGTTATTATGTACTGTGGCATCCAAGAGCAAACTTAGGGTGCTCTGTCACTGAGCTACATCCCCAGTCCTTTTTATTTTTTAATATTGGGATGCTTTTTAATTTTTGAGGGTGTTGCAAATTATCCAAGTGTAAATTAAACTCTCTATTCTTCCTGCCTCAGCCTTCTGAGTATGCCACCATACCTGGCTTGAAATCCCCCTTCTTGTCCGTAGATCTTGGGCAAGTTACTCAAGCCCTGGGAGCCTCTGTTTACCCATCTGCAAAGTCGGGTCCTGATAGTTCGGGTGTTGGAAGGTTGGGAGGACAGCGAAGCAATGCGGCTTCTGAGCTCCCAGAAGAGCCCTGGCTCTCTCAGAAAGGCGCCCTTGGTGACAGCTCTTGGCAGTTCCCCGATCCCTGCCCCCTCCCAGGGGTGGCAGTGCAACAGGAATCTGCCTGTGACCTGGGCGGAGGCTGATGGCATTTGTCAGGGTATGTACTGTGGCAAGGATGCCTCTGTCTTCGTTTATTTATAGAGCCGGCCCCACCCGGGCCCAGGAGTGGATTATAGCATCACCCACACTCCAGGGGCATGGCTGAAATAGAGGCACAAAGGGGAGACTGAGGACAGAGAGGAGAGAGACAAAGCCCTGGGACTCGGAGGAGGCCCTGCCTGTGTCCCAGGACACACCCGCCCACTTCGAGTCCGGCCACCCACCCAAAAGTGAAATCAGTCTCCTCGGGACATAAAAGGATGCTGGGAACTTCCCTCCTTAGGGCACAGATTCACCAAATCCGAGGGTGAACTATCATCTCCAGACCCACACATTGTATACGCAGCGAGAGTCTTGGGTTGGCAAAAAGTCTGAAAAATTCTTCAAAACGTCTTTCCTGTGTATGCTGCTTTTAACCAGCCACCAGTTTATGGCAGACATTGAGTTTCTGATTTGGTGGGGGCTAAGTCAATAGTTTAAAATAAGTTTTGTCTCAAGATCACTCAACAGCAAAAGTGAAGCCGCTGAGCAATTCCGAGACAGTAATTCCCCAACCCCGCTCAGCTTTCTGCCAGAATCTGGAGAAAGCTGCATAACTGACAGATTCCATCAGAGTTTGTCCACCGATTTTTTACCCCAGGTTACAGGCGGCTGTACCCAAGCGATGGAGGAGAGGGCCACAGCCACCAGTCTCCCACCTCCTGGCCCCCTGGGCTAGTATTTTCTTCAGCTGAGACCTTTGTCTTCAAATGTCTGGACATGTTGCCTACGTCTGAGATCCAAAACAGAAAAAAAAGTTTGGTCAAATGATTGTTCATAGGGCATTTGGTGCCTGTGCCTGGGGTTAGGGAAAGTACAGATTTGTTTGTTCCGCACCCCTCCAGCCGACACTTAGGTAGGGACCTCTTTATGCCCATTCACGGAGGAGACTGAGGGTTTTGCAGGTTGTTCAACTTGCACAAGGCTATGTGGCTACAATGGGAGCAGGCTCGGACCCTAGGGAGCACGGGGCACAGTCACCCCACCCTAGCAGCAGGGATGTCCATGCTGGCGGGGCCCTTCAGCACCAGCGGTCTGGAACTGAGGGGCAGCCAAGGAGGAAAAGGCCTCTTTACTTGCATTAGTGTCAAAGCAGACTCCAGCATCGTGTCCGATGGTTAACGAAGTGGCACGGTACTGTGTCTGCAATTTCCTCCACAATCAGAGTCACTGATAAGTTTGTGTGTGAGAGTTGTCACAGAAAGCTCAAAATCTTGTTTGTACTTGTCACCAAATTGAAATTGTGAGTTATTACATCTGCTGTCAGGCCTAATCATTTAATGCATTGATTAAAAATTATGATTATATCACAAATTTGCTGTTTTTTCAGTACTGGGGATGGAACTCAGGGCACTGAACCACTGAGCTCCCTCCCCAGCCCTTTTTATTTTAAGGTTTTTGTTGTTGTTTGGTTTTTTGAGGCAAGGTCTCACTATGTTGTCCAGGCTGGCCTCAAACTTGGAGCAATCCTTCTGCCTCAGTCTCCTGAATGCTGGGATGATAGGCCTGCTTCATCACAACTAGCTATTTTTTTTCAAAAAATTTTGAAGCAGAATCTTGCTAATTTGCCCAGCATGGGCTCAAC